AAAAACAAACACACATAAATACAAGAGAAAAAAAATCAAAATCAATTGCCTAAAGTGAAAATAATACAGGAAAAAAGTAGATTAAAACGTGATTAAAAACAGCCCGAATAAAAGACTTTAATATAAATATAAAGAAAAGAAAAAAAGGAAAGGAAAATAAAAAGGAAGACAAAAGAAAGACAACACCATGAACAAAAGCTGAGAAGGAGGAAAAAGAAAAGAGAATCAGAAGAGAAGAAGGAACAAACTACAGCAGAGAAATAAAGGCTAAAAACCAGGGGGAAATCCTAAGAAAGGAGAAAGGGAGGGTGATCGGGAGAGAAGAAATCTGTGTGGGGCAGGACACTCAGTATGGGGCAGCTATCGCTGCCACCAAGCCGCTCACTGGGGGGTGGGGTGGGGGGAGGTGTTCAGGACGGGGGAGGGGAGGGAAGCACCAGTCTCAGGCAAAGTTCCTGTTGGCCTAGATGTTTTCTGGGGTTGGGACACGTTATCCGGAAACAGTTCTGGCTGGTTCAGAGGGATGCGCACTTACATCAGGGTGATTGGGCCCAGAAGGAAGTCTGGGAGCAGGTGGCGGGTTCTGGAAGGAGTTATGCAAGCTTCATAAAATAACAAGGAAATAAAGCCTTTTCTGTTGTATGGAAAGTTTAGTTCCAAATTTCAATAATTATTTCTTTGACATCTGCTTATAAAGCTGTTGGGAAAAATTTAATTACTAATTCAATTTTTTTAATGGTCAGAGAACAATTATTTTTCTATTTCTTCAGTCAGTTAAATTGTGTTGTAAAATGTATCCTCTTACTAAGTTTTCAGATTTATTAGTAAAATAAATATATATCATTTAATATGACTTTCTACATTTTTGTATTTCTATTGTATCTATAATGATAGGTCTTACTTTATTCCTTACATTGGCTATTGTGTTATCTCTTTTATTCCCCTCCTTGATCGGATTCTTAACTGGTTGGTTTTATGAGTATTTTGAGAAAATCAACTTTTGGGGGGGTCCTGGGGGCGGATTACCTGTGATTATATATTCTTTATATGTACTTTGCTAATTTATACTTTCCTTTTATTAATTCCTTCCATAAACTTCATTTGTTCTTACTTGCTTTTTCTCCTAAATTCTGATAATGAACAATTGACTTATTAATTTCAGGATTTCTTTTAATAAATTAAAGTTAGACAGATACCTCAAATATTGATTAGTAAAATGTTGCTGTTTTATTTCATGAAACTATTTTGGGTTTTTTCTTAGGATTACTTTCTTAACTTTAGAATGTAAAGTGTTTATTTTAATTTTGTAACATTTTGTGCTTTTCTAGATATATTTTGTTTTCCAAATTAATTTAATTCCTTTGAAATTTGCATGGATTGTATCTCTTAGCTTCTGTCCAGTTTAAAAACAAATACTCTATGTATGCTTGCAGTAAATGTTCATTATCAGGTTGATTAGTATAGTAATCTGTGTATGACTATTAGGCCAGGTTTAATGTTGCTCAGTTTTTTACAACCTTACTGATTTTTTCTACTCCTCCCAAAAGTTGCTGAGAGAGCTATATTTAGATCTCCTATGATTGTAGATGTATGCATTTTCTCCTAAAAATTCTGAGAATTTTTGCCTTACATATTTTGATGTGATGTTACCGAGTTTATTTGATATATTGCCATAGTTAAATTTAACTCCCCATTGATTCTGTGTGCATTTTTAAAATAATGATTTAGGTTTTGGGAAAAAACAATATAACCATGCCCATTACAAAGTCTTATCTCATCACTCTCTCTTTTTGTTTAACAGTTTTATCGACACTTCATCCACATATCACACAATTTAATAGTTCGACCATATCAAGAAGAATTGTGCAATCTTTACCATAATCAATTTTAGAGCATTTTCTATTTCTCCATAGTAATTGTCATTCATGTAACTTTTTTGGTATAATTCAGTGCTGTTGATTATACTCTTTGTGTTGTGCAACCATTATTGATATCCCTGTCCAATCTGTTCCATCGCCATTAGAATGAACTCAATGCACCCTAAGCAAAGCAGAAACTCTTCCTCTTTCACCAGGTGACTATAGGTCAAGTTCGGTTCTCCTCCTTCCTCTCCTCCTCCTGGGTACTAGGTGTTTTCTATCACTCTTTCACTCACCTACACGAATATCTCGCGCCTCAGCCCCCCTAAAATTGTCTGTTTATCTTCATTCGCAGTTGGTTTCCTACTTTAATGAGGAAAATGGAAATATCACAAATCCTTCTTCAACTTCTATCTACCTACCTACATAGTTGGGTTTATGCTCACACACTTGACTTTTTCATTCTTGTATATAAAGCCAAACTCTTTATACATTGGGTATATCCAATAGGTTCACACCTATTCAAAGACATACTTTCTCCAGTTCTCTCTCCTCTACAGAATCTCTTTCTCAACTGAATCATCTTTTCTACCACTGGAATATACCATTAATTCTCCCACCGTAGACTTCATTTTAGTAACCCCAATCCTTTCTTTAGTGACTGTCCGATTTCCTTTCTTTATCACGACGTTTCCTAAAAGAACTATCTGTATTTTTGCCACCAATTTAAATCCTCTTATTCTCTTTTGAATTTTAATGGTAAAAATAAAAAGGCACAGACATACATTATCTAGTTTGTGGTGACATCGAGAGAGAAAGCAAGGGTTACTTTTAATAGTAGAATAATATCTGTTGAACTTCATGATAAACAATTTTAATTAGGATGCTGAATTTTAACTTATGATAAGATTAGTGGGTCTCTTGAGAAGAATTTTCTTTTCAGTGATCTCTCAGTCATGTTTGTAGAACTCTTAAAACATCAAACCACATCCTTTTTCTTTCCTTCAGTTTTATTTTGTATAGTTATTCATATATCTCACCCCCTCTCCAGTATCATGACATAGATTGAACCTCAAGTGTTCGGAAACATGATCTAGGTATTTTTAAAATATGCCAATGGTAATATAAAATTAGCAATCTCTTTTTGAAACATTATATTATTAAGTTTCCAGGAAAATTTGCACAGCAAAACACGTTTTCACAATACTTGCTAGTGTTATTGCATGAGTCTTCTTAAAGGCAATCTGACCATGGGAGATGGGGAATGCTCTAAAATTGATGCGGGGGTCATTGTGCAGTTCTCTGTGATTTGATTGAGTGATTGAACTATTGAATTTTAAGATATGTAAATTACTTGTGGATAAACCTGGGAAATAATTAAGTTTTCATTTAACAATGTCAATGTAAATTGTTCAGAAAGGCCATGGTGGCTTAGTGGTTACATGTTGGACTGCGATCCTCATGGTTGGCAGTTCGAAACCACCAGCAGCTCTGAGAGAGAAAGACTGGACCTTTTACTCTCGTGGGTTCTCTATGAGTCAGCATTGACTTGATGACAATATTGTTCAAAACGTATTGTTCAAAAACGTAAGGAACCCTGGTTGCCCTGTTGGTTAAAGGTTGGACTGCTAATTGCAAGGTCGGTGGCTCAAATCCATCAGCCTCTCTGTGGGAGAAAGACAAGGCTGTCTGTTTCTGTAAAGATTTATAAATCCCCAGCAACCTTATATAGGGTCATTATGAGTTGAAAACAACTCCATGATGGGGAGACACATTGTTTAGTGACATTGCTTACATTTTTCATAATGTGTCAGCATTTTCATTAATTCTATCCTAGTTCTAGTATACTATCTAGCTTCCCCGCCCCTTGACTTCTTATCTTTGCTTTAGAGTAAGTAATTGTTGACCAGCTAGAGAATATATATAATTTAGCTAAAGGATAAACTCGGTGGATAACTTTGGTTCAAGATTTAAAGAACATCTCAGGGAAATATTCTCAGGGGACCCATCAGGTCTAATTATTATGGACTTTTAAAGAATTAGAATTATGTCCCACCTTTTTTCTCTGATTCTATCAAGATCAATGCATTGTAGACTTGATCAGAATGGTAGCTGCTACCACCTGGTTCTTCTGGTCTCAGAGTAGATAAGGCTGTGGTTTGTGTAGGTAATAAACATCATTTCTTAAGCTGAGTAATACAATATGAGATTTCTCCAATATAAATTTTAAAATTCATAGTTAGTGTATGTACATGCTATATCTTTTGATAGCTGGGGCACCATCAGCTTTCTTCACCACATTTGCTTATGCACCCATTTTGTCTTCAGTGATTGTGTCAGGAAGGTGAGCATCACAGAATGCTGATTGTTATAACAAAGTGTTCTTGTGTTGAAGGAGTACTTGAGTCAAGGCCCAATGTCTATCTGCAACCTTAATTCTTAACATATGACTATGAGTACGTAGTTCTGTTCCCCTCTCATTATATATATATTTACATATGTAAATGCCTGTATTTAGACCTCTATAAATGTCCTTTGCCTCCTGGTTCTTTCCTTTATTTTCTTTTACTTTCCTCTTGTCCCATCATCATGTTCAGTCTTCATTCGCGTTTAATAATTCCTCGCTGCTGCATTGCCATTTATTAAGCCCCACTAGGCATCCTACACCCTTCTTTCCATTGATTTTAGTTCACTTGTTGTTCCCTTGTCTCTGGGGTTGGTTCCCCCCCAATACCCCGCTTCATTTCTCCCACTTCCCCTTCTCCTGTATGCCCCCAGAAACATTAGTCCCATTCTTTTCATCTCCAAATTATTTATCCTGCCTATCTTATCTAGATAGACATACAGATACATTAATAAGCGCAAAACCCTGGCAAAGCCAAATAAAACAACAAAGGAAGTCAAGACCAACAAAACAATAACAACAACAACAACAAAAAGAAAGCTTTTTTTATATAAAAAACGTTTGAATACTTACTGTGTCTGACATTAATTATGTGCTGAGTGAAGTGATAGAGAACAAAATAGACACATTTCCCATAAGTCTATTTAGTGTGCTCTTATAATTTAAAAAGATAAATTTCTGTTTTTGATTGTCACAGCTTGTTTAAATTGACTTTATAATTAACTTCTTATATGCAGCTAATTATGCAGTTTCTCTTGGAGGATTCCTCTACTTTGTAACCTACTTCCCATTTAACATCGTCTCTGAAAAATATACAGATTTGACTCTCTTCCAGAAGCTGGCTTTCTGTCTCTGCTCAAATATCGCGATGGCAATGGGAGTTGAACAGCTGGTGAAGGCAGAAATGGATAGTAAGTATTATTTGGCTTTGCTCTAGGAGATGCCGGGGTAAATTTAAAAAGTATTGTTACTGGGGTCCGCTTTATGCATGCACAGGCTTGTTCCAAACAACACACGTTTACACAGCTCTCTGAAAGTTGTGGATGGTGGCCGAGGAGCTGCGGACTTGTCTTGGGCTCATTCAGGGGGCCTTCCGGTAGAGGTCAAATCAAAGCGGTGGCGTTGAGGGAATCTGCTGAGCCAGTTCATTAAGGCAAAGAGGTCAGCTCAGAAGTTTATTAAGACTGTTTTGGGATTCCAATGTGTCAATCTTGATAGCTTTTCTCTCAAAAGGCACTGGATAATTACTGGGGTTTATTAGGATTGTGTGTTCTGATAATTGAACATTGCATTATTGGGAAGAAGAGTCGGGAAATTTGAGCCAAGGAATTTTTTTCCATCACAACACACCTATTCATTCTTTAAGGGTAGCAAGGTCTATCCCGTGAGAATGTTCCCGGGAAAACTGACCCTATCTGCCCTGAGGCCTCTTGATCATGCCCCTTAAGACTTAACTTTTATTGTCAAAATTTAATATCAAAAAGGCACGTGATTTGAGTCCTTCTAGAGAATGCCCAAACTGCTAATTTTGTTTGGTATAAATAAATAAGTGTGCTGATCCAGCTCAGAAAGTGAGAGACGGAAATACTACCTTTAGACATGTGTAGACCTGCACGGAGGGTATGTTAACAAATTAGGGCTTCACATTTTCATATTTGTGCTTAATAAATGTGTCTATGATTTTGCAGCAATAATTTTTGACTTATCCTTGTATAGATTTGCTATCTGATAGGATTTTGATTAAAAACATGTTATTATTGCTTGATACTGCTAAACTGCCCTCCAATAACACCTAGACTGTGTAATGCCCCCTGTAACGTGATTGTTTCCACATTTCCAACAAAAAATGTACCACATGTCTGTTAGGCTGTTAGGGTCTCCTCCGACTCCTTTCCAACATTGACTCAATGGCAGTGAGTTTGTTTTGGGCCGGGGGCATCTGATGGTCAGGAGTCCTGGTGGTATAGTGTGCTATGCATTGGGCTGCTAATAGCAAGGTCAGCCGTTCGAAACCACCAATTGCTTTGCAGGTAAAAGATAAGACGTTCTACTTCTGAAAAGATTTAGAGCCTCAGAAACCCCAAGGGGCAGTTATACTCTGTCCTATAAAGTTGCTACAAGTCGGAACTGACCCAATGGCAGTGAGCTTGAGTTTTGAGGGAGGGAGGCTAGTGGTTAATAGTTAAAAGTCTCCCAAACTCACCGGGGCAGTTCTACTGTGACCTATAGGGGCATGATGCCAGTGAGTTTGCGTTTGCTTTGGAGTTGTAGAAGAAACCCTGGTGGCACAGGGGCTTACTAACGACTACGCTGGGCTGCTAACTGCAAAGTTAGCCGTTTGACACTCTCAGTGTTTTCTCTCTGCAGGGAAAGCACTTACAGACTCTGAACACCAGAGCAGCACTTCTGTTTGGTCTGGTTGTGTCCTATGAGTCAAAATCGCCTCCCTGGTGTACATTTTGCTTAAGGATTGGGGTTTAGTGGTAGTGGAGGGAGCGAGGATGCATCTACTTTTATAATTTTTTTCTCTTTTTTTCCCCCTGCATGCATTATCTACAAAAATTTATTTGAGACTTTTGTTCTGTGTTTAGCATCCATCTCTACTTTTTCCACAATGACATAATCCAATGAACATTTGGCTAGTGTGAGGAGGGATGGAGGAGAAGGGCCATGTCTTAATCCAAAAGCTGGTTTATTCTTCAAGTATATTGTTCTGAACTTTTGCTATTTTGTTATTGTTGTGTCAGTCATAACATTCTTTTTTTGGTTAGGGGTATAGAGGAGCATGCCCTTTGTGATGCATACTCAATTTGTCTTTGGTCAACCTAAATTCTAGGGAATAAGAAAGTATTTGTTTACAGTAGCTCTCTCTAGAATGTATCCACACTTTTTCCTTTCCTTCCCTGTTTAACTGTTTTATCTCAGTAGAAACTTACATTAAATATGTCCTCTTGTATTTTAGATGTTGGAATTAGATGGAATAATATTTTGGCAACGCAAGTGGATTCATTTGCCTTTGTCTATATACTAGGAATGCTTTTATTTGATGCTTTCTTATATGGCCTTGTGGCCTGGTATATAGAAGCGGTCTTTCCTGGACAATATGGGGTGCCGAAGCCATGGAACTTTTTCTTGATGGTGAGCTATAATGCCTCTGTTATGTAGAGAGACCAGAGTCCTTATGACTCTGTCTTTTAATAGTTATGGAAATCTCTTGGAATTATAATTGGATCAAAAAATCAGGTGAAGAAAATTCTTATCTACGCTACAGCTATACTAATGTATTTCCCTCTAATTAATACCTAATACACATAGACGTGTGTTAGCCACAAGTGGCTCTAGAGGAAAAAGATGAGACTATCTACTCTCATAAAGATTTACAGCATTGAAAATCCTATACATACGGTTGGTTATGAATCAAAATTGATTTGATGGCAGTGGGTGGGATATATATATTGGGTGTGTTAGTCTGAGAAACAAATTCATAGACACTCATATGTATAAGAAAGAGCTTTATATAGAAGAGCAGCTGCATATTGAGAAAACATCTCAGCCCAGTCCAGATCAAGCCCATAAGTCTGACATAAGCCCATATGTCCAATACCAATCTATAAAGTCCTCTTCAGACTCACTAAACCCATGCAATGATGCTGAATGCAGGAAGATCACAGGCCCAGTGGATGGGAAGTCTTGTGGTTCCAGTGGTGGTGTAAGCATCTCAGCACTGGCGTCTAGCATAGTTCCATGTGCTCTGTCAACAGGAATGTCTCCAAGGGAATGGGTGTGTGTCCTGCCTCAAGTGAGCTATTTATCTCCTTAGCACCTCCAACATGATGTCATCAAGCTGCGACTTGATTGACAGGTTAAACCTTCAGTCTCAAATTGACAACAGGTTATGTAACTACAACATGGGGGTTTCAAAAAGTTCATGAAAAGGTACATTATCTTTTCATTCCATTCATCATAAACCTTTTGAAGCCATCTTTTATATAAATATAAATAATCTGTCAATTATGGCCCCCAGCCCCAAACTTTATAAATTGTTCTTTTTCCAGTCCAGTGTTTTATCAAAGATTGAATTTAGAACCTAAAGAAACAAGTATGTAGCATGTCTTGGGATGTTGATAAGGAAAGTTTCAGTTATGTCCCACATCTGAATACTCACCACCTGTTTCCTTTCCTGAATTGTTCAGACAGCTTAGAGTTAGAACGACAGAGAAGTGGAAGGCACCCGTTACATCCTGCTCTCTTCTCAATTTCTTCCATTAGTGCTACTGGCTCATATATGAGTCAGAGAAGTGCTCAATACTTTTCACTGTGACCTCCTTTCAGCTTTATGGTTTTAATAGAGTACTGTGTTCTTATGATATGGGTTTTTTTTTTTTAAAGTCACTTTACTGGGGGCTCTTACAACTCTTATCACGAACCATACATACATATATTGTGTCAAGCACATTTGTAATATGTTGTCATCATCATTTTCAAAACATTTCTACTTGAGCGGGAAGGAATTTAAATTATAGCCAATTATCCCTAAAATTTAACCCCACGAAAATGTTAGCAATTCATTGTAGTTAAAAACAAAGCAAAACAGGTTAACCTATTTTCAGATGCTTCATTTTACAGTGCCATCACGTTGATTACATTTTCATTCCCTTCTTAGCGCTCTTACTGGTTTGGTGATACAAATGCGAATAAAGACCGGAGCGAACCTTATGAGACAATCCAAAACAAGTATTTTGAGGTGGAACCTACTGACTTGGTGCAAGGTATCCAGATCAAACATTTGTATAAGGTATTGCCTCATACTTTTTTTTTTTGCCAGGGGGTGGGGTGGGTGGGGGGGATTTTGGACTAAAATTATAGTTTAAGATAAATTATGAGATATCAATAAAATGTCATAACCATGTTTATTTTCTTTGAGAAATAGAAAAATGAAATTAATATATCACATATAATATAAGAGTATGTAATACTATGAAAATAATATAATGTTAATTTCTTTGTCTTTTGGTTTATGTGGATCAACTCCAGGCATGGAATAATCCATATGTGTATGGCCTTCTCTTCCCTGTCACCAGCTCCTTAGGGTTGATTTACACTTTCAGTCACAAAGCTTGCAGAAACTCAGACTCCCAGCTCACCTCACAACTCCCTGTGGGACTGACTTTATAACTAAGTTATTTTCTCTCCAAAGTCAGCGTCCCTTTCCTTCCCCACAGTGTTGATTCCCTCAAACGTGATCATGGCTGTCTTAGGTATCTTTCTAATGCTAGTTTTTGGTCTCAGCGTCTAATTGCCAAACAATCTAATTAGTGAATGTTAACACTCAAGGAACTTAGAAAGAAGACAAGAGGTGAGGAAGGCTGTGGTACGAGTTAGTAGTGAAAAATCCATAGGTGGTAAAGTAGGATGGCACCCGGGGGCAGAGAGGCACTGCTTGGTGCAGTGTATCCAGCTGTTGAAAGTGAGGGGAGAAGTGGAAATAATAAGGCCCATGGACTTAGGTGCCTGTTACTAGAGAGCTTGAGAAACTCCAGACAAATGAATGACTGTATATTATTAATCATCATCAGAAGACTTCATAGCATACATCGGGAGATTTCCATCCCTATCGGTCAAAGAGCAGAAATAGCAAATCCCAGACCTAATTTAATTATAAGAATAGCAGAGCTCTAAGAAGGTTAACTTCTCAATGTAGGCAGGTGTGTTCCATTTTCCTCCGAACCTTCAGTCTGCAAAAAATGGTCACTCCTCTCTGTTAATAACTAGCATTTCTTCCTCCTTCCTTGAAGTTTGTATAGTTGGCTTCCTCTCTCTTTCTCCCTCTCTCAACTATCTTCTCAGAATTTGTTCCCCATTACTCCTTCTGATCACTAGGAAAATGTTAATTGTAGTAGACAATCCGCCAAGATATTTTCCAATGATCTATAAATATCTCTGGGTTTTCATGCTGTTGAATAGGGTCACCTGGATGCCCAATTAAAAACTGCACAAGTGCCTTGGGTCCTTTTGGAGGTTGTCAGAAAAGGCATGGTGCCTTCCAGTTTGGTCTCTTGGATAGCTTTGAGGGAAGTCACATGCTTGAGGACATAAATGCCTACTGCAAAGCCCGTGTGGAATGAGCGGAATCCTCCCCATAGCAGACGCATCAACATGACACACATGAAGGTGAACTACTTTGGAAGCAGAATCTACAGTCTCAGGCAGGCTTTCAGATGACTGCATCCCCAGGCAACTGCTTTCTTCTTTAGGCTATGTTTTGGCAAGAACAAATATAGCAAAAGCTTTGACAACTCAACATGTTTTACCAGTACAATTCAGTGAAGGTGATGCCATGCATCATGCTGTGCAACTGCCATGTATATTCCTCTCTAAACTATTCCCCTACCGTTCTGGTAATATGAGTTTGCAGAAATCGATAAGTGATGCTAATGGCAACCAACAACAAAAACACCCACTACCATCAACTCGATGCTGACTCATGGGTTTCTGAGACTGTAATCCTTACAGGAGCAGACAACCTCAGCCTTCTCCCACAATAAGGCTTGTGGATTGGAAACACCTACCTCACGGTCAGCAACCCAATGCCTAACCCACGGTGCCAACAGAATTTCTAACAAATGGCATGTGGAGATGCCTATTTCAATTTTTAACCCTTTGTGTTCTTTCAAATTAAATAAGGGCCCTTTAGGTGTAGTTCTGCTCTGACCTATAGGTGGCTATGAGTTGCCATTGACTCAATGGCAATGAGTTTATTTTGGGGAAGTGAAAGAGAGGAGTTCTGGTGGTGCAGTGGGCCACAAACTGGGCTGCCAACCACAAGGACAGCAGTTCAAAGCCACTCCTCAGGAGGAAACTGAGGCCCTCCACTCCCACAAAGGCCCACAGCCTCAGAAAACCACAGGGGCAGTAGCACTCCATCAATGCAAGACACTCTCAATTGGAATAGGCTCCATAGCAGTGGTGGTTGTTTTGTATTTTGAAGGTAAAAAATTACAGGTATTTATGCATATTTAACACTCACCTCAAATTCACTGCCATTGAGTCAACTCCCAACTTACAGCGATCCTACCCCAGTGTGTCTTCTCGACGGTAAGCCTTTATGGAAACCAATAGCCCCATCCCACTCCCATGGAGAGGTTGGGGCTTCAAACTACTGACCGCCTGGCCAGCAGCCAAATTCAAAACCCACTACACCACCACAGCTCTTATAATGTAGATTCATGGCTCTCAATTTTGAGTAGCCATCAGAATCACCTGGGGGATTTGTTGGTAGAACACAGATTTCTAGGTTCAACCTCCACAGTTTCTTAGTCAGTGGGTCTGAGATGGGTTCTGAAATTTGCTTTTTTATTTTGATTATTTCACAAACCATAATACCAGTTAGCATTTGGATACTTCATCTATGACAAAAGAAAACGGAAGCACAGACATTTTAAGTAACTTGTTCAAGGTCACACAACTAGTGAAAGTGTCAGACAGAATTTAAAACAGAACAATTTGGCTCCAGAATCCACTGTGCTCTTGGAAGAAACCTTTTTTTGGTTCTTTATTTTTAAGTTTCACAGATAATAATATTCACATATCATACATTCAGTAGTTCAATGACAATCAGTCCCAGTCCCCTTCTGCTTCTTCATACTTGTTTGCTGTCAGTTTCCCTATTTCCCGCCAGCCTCCTCTGTCATTTCCCTTTGAATCTATTAACCCAGTTGTTGTCTCTATAAGTTTACCTCTCCTGGGTTTCATACACAAAAAACATATGAAATCAAAACAAAAGGCAAATGGCCCAACAACAATGACAGAATGAATGAAACAGGGGAAAAAAAGCACATAGAAAACAAAACAGGAAATAATAAAAACTGGCAAAATTATATATCGAATCAATCATTGACAAGGCTTAGTCCACGTAGGCAGCTTCAATTCTGAACACCCAGTTTTCTGAAGGCTATGGGTGATAGCAAAAGTCCTGAGTTAGTTTATTGTGCCAATCTAGCCGATAAACACATGTGGGGTTAATTGAAGGGTGGAGAGATAAATGGCTCGGTGAGCCTCGCCTTTCTAGTTCTCTGGTCTCTTGCTTTCTGATGGTCAGACCAGGGTGCAGCTGCCT